AAAAGCATGAAACTGGACCAGTTTCTCACACTATGTGTGTGTTTAGTCACTCAGTTGTGTCCGACTCTTTGTGACCCCATGGACTGTAGCCCACTAGGTTCCTCTGTCCATGGAATTCTCCAGGCAAGGATACTGGAGTGGGTTGCCATTCCCTTCTCCAGGGGGTCTTCCCAATATGGGGATCAAACCTGGGTCTCCTGCATTGTAGGCAGATTCTTTACCATCTGAGACACTAGGGAAGCCCCAAACAAAAGGTAATGTTTAAAAACAGAGACAATCTGCAAAAAATACCAGAGTTGGTTCTTGCAGTGTATGAATAGCAGAGACAAAGGTTGGGGGTGGGGTGGGGCAGGGAGGAAGATGGGCAAGAAAAAAAGATTTTGTGAGATTAAAGGTGGGGGAGGAAGAAATCAGAAGTAAAACAGAGAACTACAGATACAGTCAGAACTTTTTAAAAACCTTGAGTGAATATAAGTATTATGAACCTTGGACAAAATGGGCAGTTTCCTAAAAGTTGTAGCTTACTAAATCTGACTCAAGAAGAAATAGCAATTTTTCATACTACATGCAAAAATAAACTCAAAATGAATCCAAGACTTTTTTTTTTCCAATCCAAGACCTAAATGTAAGACATGAAATCATGAAACTCCTCAAAGAAAACATGGGCGGTACACTCTTTGATATAAGTCTTAGCAATATTTTTTGGCATCTGTCTCTTCATGCTAGGGAGATAAAAGCAAAATAAACAAATGGGACTGTATTAAATTAAGCAGTTGTCATACAGCAGAGGATGCGGAAGTGACTTAGCATGCAAAAAGAGTAAAATACTTAGGAGTAATTCTAACTGCTAAATGAAGAGGCAGCCTGCTGAATGGAAGAAGAGAGTTGCAAACTATGTTTATCAGATAATTGCTTACTGTACATAAAAAACTCATACCCAACCAAGTGAGCAGAGGACCGGAATAAATATTTTTCTGAAGAAGTCACAGTTGGCCAAGAAACACATGAAAAGATACTCAACATCACTAATCATCATGTAAATGCAAATCAAAACCACAATGGTATTGAACGGCTATCAGCAAAAGTGAAGTGAAGTCCCTCAGTCGTGTCCGACTCTTTGAGACCCTGTGGACTGTAGCCCACCATAGGATTCTCCCGGCAAGAATACTAGAGTGGGTTGCCAGTTCCTTCTCCAGCAGATCTTCCGGACCCAGGGATCAAACCCAGGTCTCCTGCATTGTGGGCAGACGCTTTAACCTCTGAGCCACCAGGGAAGCCCATGTGACAAGTATTGGTGAGGATGTATACAAGGGGGAATTCTCATGCACTGTTTGTGGGTGTGTAATTTGGTGTATCCACTCTGTAAAACAGTATGGAATTTTCTCAAAAAAATAAAAATAGAACTACTGTACAGTCCACCAATTTCAGTTCTAGGTATTTATATGAAGAAAAGAAAAGCAGTAATTTGGGGAAATGAAGCCCAGTATTCATTGTATTAATAGCATTATATACAGTCCCCAAGATATGGAAGTAACCTAAGTGTCCATTGATAGATGAAGGGACAAAGAAGATATGGTTTTATATATATACAATGGAAATTATTCAGCCATAAATACTTCTAAATCTTGCCATTTGCAATGATGTGGCTAGATCTAGAGGGTATCAAATAAGTGCAATAAGTCAGAGAAAGACAAACATTCTATGATCTCACTTATATGTGGAATCTAAAAATCAAAACAAATAAGCAAACAATATGAGAATAGATTCATAGATATGGAGAACAAATGGGTGTTTGCCAGAGGGGAGTGGAATGATGGGTTGGGTGAAATAGATGAAGGGAATTAAGAGGTGCAAACTTCCAATTATAAAATAAATAAGCCAGAGGATAAAATATACAGCATAAGGAATGTGGTATATAATTTTGTCATAACTTTGTACAGGGATGGTTGTATACTAGAATTATTGTGATCATTTCATAACAAATATAAATGTTAAATCACTATGTAGTTCACCTGAAACATAAAATTGTACATAATTATATTTCAGTTAAAAAAGGTAAAAACTATACAGTCAAATCATGTTAATATCCTGTTCACCAACAGTCTTTTACTCAATGTTTTGTTATCCATTCATGAACTGTCCCTGAATCATTATTACCTAAATTGTTACAAAACAGTAATTTTCTAATTTTGTCTTTTCCTTTACCTATATTTCCTCATGTATTTCTATAAAGAAGAGTTTTCTTTCCTTTTCACCTTTTTCAGCTTCTCTCTCCGTCTTCTCAAAGTATCATATGGACTCATGAATTTTAAAAAATCCACTATTCAGTGTGTTCTAATAAATTACCTACTTATCATTTTGACCCTTAAATTATCCTATATTTGTCTAGTGGGAGCCTTTTAACTGGTTGTCCTTTTATATACCTTCATTTGTTTTTGAACACTTTCTTGCTTTCTGGGAGAACAAGGTATTCCAGATATGCCTTGTACCTTTCTCTGTCCTTAAACCTGGGGTCAACTATTTCTGCAAGGAACTCCTTTTAGTGGAAAATTGTATATAGAAACCAAGATCTGATTGCAAGGCATGATAGCTTCTACTGAAGTGTTACTGCTTCAGGTCCTTTCCAAGGACAGAGCTAGAAAATAATATTTTTTGAAAAGTCATCATTTTATCCAATGTTCTCAGTTCACATCTAGTGTCACAGAGATTTTCCTTACCTTCCCTCATTTTGTATTTGTATCTCTCTCCAGAAGAGAGCCCTGCTTTCCAACAGCACCAGTGTACTTCCTGATAAGCTCTGTTCTTCAGCTGGTATTGGGTTTCCCAGGTGGTTCAGTGGTAAAGAATCTGCTTGCCAGTATGGGAGATGCAGGAGACGTAGGTTCCATCCCTGGGTCAGGAAGATCCCCTGGAGGAGGAAATGGCAACCTACTCCATTCTAGTGTTCTTGCCTAGAAAATCCCATGGACAGAGGAGCCTGGCGGGCTAGAGTCCATGGGTTGCAAAGAGCTGGACACGACTGAGTACACACACATGCTGTCAACACGCTCTGGCAGGCTTACTAAGGAAACTTCAGGATTTCTTTGCAGTCTACTTTTTGTTCTTAGAATGCATCTTACTAAGGCTGTATACTCAGAATACTGTGTTTGAATTACTTGAATTCTTGCTTTTGATATATAGTTAGGGTTATTTGCTTCTGTTTTATTCTGTTTGAAGCTTTACTTTTTCATCCTTTTTGAAGTGTCATTCTCGTTTCCGTCCCATCTACCCCATTGCCAACCATCCTCTAGAGGATGAGCATGAGGCTTTTAATATATGTCTGACTTCTGAGTCATGTAAACATGTTTTGTAAAATTGAACTAAAAAAGAATGTTAATAAATGATGACTTGGTAGCCTTAATAAGGTCCTTTGCCTTATTTCGATTGTTAATGTTTCTGTAACAGCTTTCTTTTGCTTGGTTTGTAGTTTACCTCATTGTCTTTTTCTATCCCTTTAACTTCAACTTGTGCGTGCTTATTTTGTAAGTGATATGTATACAGCTGGAGAAATTGATGTTAATCTAGGCAGTTTTGTCCTTCCTTGTATTTTTGAATTTTTCCTGCTAGCTTTTATTTTGTTTTGTTCTCCCTCTCCCTCACTCTGTTTTCTCTTTTGCTTTCTATTGATTGTTAGTTTTACTTGATTTTATCTAATTATTTGGAAGCGATAGCATTCTATATCTCTTCTTTTAATTTTTTTTTCAAATTTTATTTATTTACTTTTGGCTGTGCTGGGTCTTCATTACTGCGAGGCTTTTCTCTAATCCGGGAGAGCAGGGGCTAATCTTCAGTTGTGGCGCAGGAGCTCCTCACGCAGGCTTCAGTCGCTGTGGCTCTGGGGCTCTAGAGCTCAGGCTCAGAAGTTGGGGTGCACAGGTTCCCATGGCATGTGGGACCTTCCTGGATCAGGGATCGAACTTGCATCTCCTGCATTGGCAGGCAGATTCTTTACCACTGAGCCAGCAGGGAAGCCCTTAATGGTCATTTGTGATGGACATTCTTGTCATCCTGTTAGTTTTGTAGTGAGTATTCAGTCAAATCAACCACGCCAATTTTTTATATGAACCACCAAAACAGGTTTGTTGAATCCTCTACTTTCATATTTATATTTTTAAACTCAAGCAAAGAAGATTATGTTTATTTTTTCAAACTTTACAATCTTAATTTGAGTAGTCTTATTCATGCAGTGTAAACAAAGGTTGATGGGAATCTGAACTCACCACAGCCTTTCTTTTATAGTCTGCTAGCCCTCAGCCCTGCTTCCCCACCAGAATATAATTATGATTATTGTTCTGTCCATTATGTCTAGAAAAGTAGATATGCATTAGCGTTCCCTTAACAGATAGATTAGTTGAGCGAATAAACTAGAAAGACAGTCTGGAGGAGAAGGTATGGGGTAATGGTTGGGATGGAGGGCAGGAGACCTTATGGAACCATTCAGTCTGAAGGATGTGCAGTCCTTAATCGCTCTGAGATTCTATACTAAGTAGATTTAATACATTGCCATACTCATTTTACAGTCAGGTTTAGGCACATAGGTTAAGTTTCATTTTTCATCTTTGACTTGTAGATGATCTTAACCTTATGTGATCATTTAATAGCACAACACTCTGAGTGGCCATTCACAGCCATCACTCTGTATGCCTCCCAAGTAATCCCAAATGTCCTGCTGTTTTCAGTTTTCTGTTTGGACAAATTAGAAAGCAGGTAAACCAGTTGTAGGGTTCTCATATTTTATCTTTTCTATAGCAAAGCAAACTGGGGGAAGCAAAGTACATATTTTCTCTGAATTTTGTTTCTGAATTTTCACTTGATTATAGAATTATCTTAGTTTTATTTAGATATTTATTGGGAGTGATATGCAAATTGGGACAAGGAAAATATAGTTTTATTAGCACCTGGAAATCTACATTAGTGCCATGGATGCTTCTTATGATAAAAATCTCTTCTCTTTCTCTTAGGGCTGCTGCTCAGAGTAAATTAGGTCACTACACAGATGCAATAAAGGATTGTGAAAAAGCAATAGCGATTGATTCAAAGTACAGCAAGGCCTATGGGAGAATGGGGTAAGTTATGGAGAATGTTCAAAGTACTACCAGGTAGTATCAGATATGCTGTTCTTAATGGCTTGGTTTTGAATTTCCTGCTTCATATGCACCCTCTGGACTAATAAGATAAATATAACATTGAGGGAGGAAATGACTGCGATTCTGTCTTGGGGGGGAGATGATTAGTGTATGATGAATGGGTGGTTGTTGGAGAAAATCATAACAACCATACTGAGTAGGCCTACTTCATATTCAAGGTTACAAATCTCAAGCACACAGTATTTTGGCAGCTAATCCTACTATACTTCTAAATTCACCTTACCCCTCTCTGAGTTGACTGTTTCATACATACTCTTCTCAAATTTTCACTGCATGTTCCAGGTCCTTGCAACCTTTTACTAAACTGATAAAATAGATGCATTTAGAAAAAAATTCACCTTCTTAACTTGCAAATCCACCAGTTTACCCACATGTGTATTTGCACAGATAGCCGTTTTTTCCTATTCAAATGGAAGGGGTATTATCTAAGACTAACGCATTCACTCATGCTTTAGATCTCATGTGTTTGGACCAAGGACTTTACATTTGTAATCTTCTCCTGTATCTCCTACAACACCAGTTTCCCCATGTCTAACAGTGATGATGACTACATGTGAAAAGATCATAAAAAACCATCTGTTAGAACCATCCTTTTACCCAGCTACATCATTCCTCTGTTCCTCTTTCTCTGCAGAGCCCCTCATAGTTGTCTGTACTCGCTGTCTGGTCTTCATCATCTCTAACTCTTTCAGCTCACTCCAGTAGGACATTTATCTGTATCACTCTGTTGAGAACTCTATTCAAGGTCACCAGTTGTCTGTATTTTTCTAAGGTCAGTATTCAGTTCTGTATTCTCATCCTACCCCATCTTTTAGTATGTGGCATGATTTTTTTTTTTTCTTTTTTTGCTGTACTGCACGGCTTGTGGGATCTCAGTTCCCCCACCAGGAATTGAACCCAGGCCAAGGCAGTGAAAATGTTTAGCCCTAACCACTGGTCAATCAGGGAATTCCCAGGATTAACTTCTTTTTGAAATACTTCATTCTCTATACCTCTGGGACACCATGCTCTCTGGTTTTCCTTCTACTTCACTGGATGTTCTTTTTCAGTCGCTAATACTGGTTCTTCCTCCTCTGCCACCTCTAAATAATGATATGCTACAGGGCTCTTTCCTTTGCTGCTGCTCTCTCTCTGTCTATATTTTCTCTCTGATTTCATCCTGTCCCATGTTTTAAAATTTCATCTGTTGTCAATACTCTGTATCAGTGGATCCAAATCTGTACTCAGTATGCTTTGTGGGCATCTGCTGAATGGCGAAAATCTTGTCACCTGATGTACAAGATCTCAGTTGAGGTCAGATAAGGCAGTGCTCAATCGTTTTTGTTTCAGCTCTCATGCTCTAAAATGAGTATCTTTTTCACAGTCTAGTTAGTGCTATATTTTTTGCATGTTTGTGTTTTTATTTACAGTGGCTGCCCAGACACAGGCTGAAGTGTTGTCTAGTGTTTCTGTGTGCAAGGAGGCTGTAGTGTGCCTCACCAAGAAAATACCTGAGTTAGATAAGCTTTGTTCAGGCATGAGTTAGTACAATTGACTGTGAATTGATTACATAAGGTTTCTTTAAACAGAAACACACATAAAAACAAGTTGTGTATTGATTGGTTGATGAAAATGTTGTGACCCAGAGGCTCACAGGAACATAACATTACATTTCCCCTAGGAGCAATTGTTCAGTGTTTGCTAATTTAGTGTTTGCAGTGTCCTTGTAGCGCATAATTACTATAGATAATGAAAATCAACTGTATATGTTTATGGATCTCTTAAGTTATATGTCTAAACTCCATACTCATATAATCAGCTCTTTTTCATCTCCACTTAGATTTTTAATAAACATTTAAATGTAACATGTCCCAAACAGAACTCCTGTTCCCTTAAATCCTTCTCCTTTCAGTAAATATACTGTCATTCTACCTACCCATAACTTCGTTCAAAACCCTTGGAATCATCCTTCATTCCTATTATACCTGACACATCTAACCTATCAGGATGTCCTACGAATTCTAGTTTCCACATATTTTTTGAATTCAAGCATTGATTGCTGTCTTGTTTACAACTCTAGTCCAAATTACCATCTCTTATCTAGGCTACTGCAGTAGCCCCCTAACTCATTTCCCTGCGTTCACGCTACTCTCTCCACCCACGTCGATCCTCTGCAGAGAAGCCAGAGTGAGCTTTTTAAAGCATAAATCAAATCATGTCATTCTGTTGCAACCAGGATAAAATCCAGACTCCAAATCGTGGTTCCATAATACTCCCTGACATCATCTCTTCCCACACGTTGTTTTCGGTGCTCCCACCTGAGCCTTTGTCCTTTTCCTTAAGCATACTAAACTTGCATCATTCTCGGGGCCTTGGTGTTCATTGTTGCTTCTATTTAAAATGTTTCTCCTCTAATTTGCTTATGACTGCTTTCTTCTCATTGTTTAGTGCCCCTATTCATTCTCTTTAATATTATGTTTTTTTATTTGCATGTTTATTGCTTGTCCTCCCCTGATAGAATAAAATTTTCTTAAACCCAAGAACTTTACCATTTTCACTGAGGAATCTAAAATAGCGCCTGGTACATAGTACGATTCCAATAAGCATATATTGACTTAATTAACTGAGGATTGTGATAAAGTATCTTTCATGATTTGGAGAAAACTAATTAGGTTCAGAGATTTTCCTCTATGATTAGGCATTATATATTATCTAGATCAGAAGTCTGTGAGGTAAGTGAGTCAAGAAAGAATTGGAGTAATTTGTTAAAAATAAACTTAGAAAAAATAAAACCCTCAATACTCTCTCCATATACACCATTAGTTTTTAGTTCTGAAATAATTTTCCAGTAAATAATCCTAACTAGGTACAGGAAAACATTAAATTTAGTAATTAACTCTTTGACTTGTGCCTGGGATAATGTGTGTTATTTGAGGCATAAGGATTGCCAGTTTTATCTATTAAATAACCAACATGTCTTATTCAAGAGTAGTTAGCTGACACGTCACAGCTTACTTTTTTAACTTTTTATGGTAAAGTGATATTTATTGTGGTTCAGTGTCTCTGTTAAGAAGGAAGAAAGTGGGCCGTAGTGAAGGACAAATTTAGTTTGGAGTTCTTAAAGTAGTTTTAGCATCATGCAGTTATATGACCACAGAACTGTTAGTCAGCTCACATTTTTGTGTAGCTTAATCATTCATAAAGCAAATTAGTTCACACAGTAAGCTTAAAAGTGGAAGGGTATGTAAGATTCATTTCTAATCATTACGTTTTTTAAAAATTTATTTTTAATGGAAGGATGATTGCTTTACAGTGTTGTTGGTTTCTGTGTACATCAACATGAATCAGCCACAGGCATACATGTGACCTCCCTCCCACCTGCCACCCACCCACCCCGCTAGAATGGCACAGAGCCCCGGTTTGGGTTCCCTGAATCGCACTGCAGATTCCCACTGGCTCTCTGTCTTACGTATGGTAGTGTATGTGTTTTCCTGCCGCTCTCTCCATTCGCCCCACTCTCTCCTTCCCCCACCCCTGCCATATTCACACGTCTGTTCTCTGCTTCTGTGGCTCCATTGCTCCCCTGCAAACAGGTTCATAAGTACCATCTTTGTAGATTCCTTATATATGTGTGAATATGATATCTGTTTTTCTCTTTCTGACTTACATCACTCTGTATAATAATTTCTTTTTAAAAAATAATTATTTTTATTGAAGTATAGTTGAGTCACACACGACTTAGCAACTAAACAATAGTTGATTTACAATGTTGTGTTCGTTTCAGGTGTATAGCAGTGATTCAGTTCAGTTCAGTTCAGTCGCTCAGTCGTGTCCGACTCTTTGTGACCCCATGAATTGCAGCATGCCAGGCCTCCCTGTCTGTCACCAACTCCCAGAGTTTACCCAAACTCATGTCCATTGAGTCGGTGATGCCATCTAACTACTCATCTTCTGTCGTCCCCTCCTCTTCCTGCCTTCAATCTTTCCCAACATCAGGGTCTTTTCAAATGAGTCAGCTCTTCGCATCAGGTGGACAAAATATTGGAGTTTCAGCTTCAACATCAGTCCTTCCAATGAATATTCAGGACTGATTTCCTTTAGGATGGACTGGTTGGATCTCCTTGCAGTCCAAGGGTTTTCCTATTTGGAACCAGTCTGTTGTTTCATGTCCAGTTATGTAGTTATATGTGATTCACTTATACATACATAAATATTTATTTTTTGTTGTTGCTCTATTTTGGTTTTTTGTTTTGGCCATGCTGCACAGCTTGCAGAATCTTAGTTCCCTGACCAGGGATTAAACCCAGGCCCTCAGCAGTGAAACTACTGGGCCTCTAGGGAATTCTAATCATTACGTTCTTGATTCATGTAGGACAACTGAGGTTGGCACAAAGCAGAATGGAGAGAATCCAGACTTACAGAATCTTGGAGTTAAAAAGAAGTGATACTCCTGTGAACCATACTATAGTTGATCCTTGAACAATGTGGATGTTAGGAATACTGACCCTCTGCGTTCAAGAATGTGCATGTAACTTAGTCAACTGTTGTATCCACAGTTCCTTCACATCTATGGTTCCTCTGTGTCTGCAGATATAACCAACCTCAGATTGTACAGTACTATATAGTATTTACTGTTGGAAAAAATTTATGTGTAAGTGGGTTTTTGCTATTCAAATCCATGCTGTTCAGGGGTCAACTGTACAATGAATAAATAAAGTGTGATCTGGACTCAAACTGAATACCAAGATAGACTTTGATGACATTTGTGGTGTCCTAATGTTCTTCAGTCATATAGCTTATACTCTCAAAATGTATTCTTTTCAGGCTGGCCCTCACTGCCATGAATAAATTTCAAGAAGCAGTTACAAGTTATCAGAAGGCATTAGATCTTGACCCTGAAAATGATTCCTATAAATCAAATCTGAAAATAGCAGAACAGAAGTTAAGAGAGGGATCTAGTCCTGTAAGTTACTAATGCCAAATAAGTGAAATATTTTATCATTCATAATTATCAAATTGTAGTGTTTAAGAGTAATTTTCAGATATAATTGTTTTACAGACAGGAACTGGACTGAGCTTTGACATGGCTAGCTTAATAAATAATCCAGCCTTCATTAGTATGGTGAGTATATTTCCTTTTCTGCTTTGCTGGCTCTATTTCCCTTTAGAACTATATAGTTCCAAAGTTTTTAGAAACAAGTAAGAGAGCTTTTGCGATGGCAGTGGTAGCAGTGGTGGTATGTTATCACTGAAGTTTTTAACCTACTCATGCACTGTTTTGTGAAAAAGCCATGGGTGAACTTCAGGAAGCCCATGGATTCCTTGGAACTGTAGATGAAACTTTGTATGCATATGGATATGTGCGTTTTTCTAGGGAGAGAATCATATTTTTCATGAGATTGGCAAAGGGATCTGCAAATCTACAGAAGGCTAAAAAAATACCCTCTTAGGTGAAAGTGACCCTAGGAAGGTATCTAGTATTTGAAGTCTGAGGATTTTGGCTATTGTGGTTTCCTAAGCTCTTTTGGCTTTATTTGTCTGATCAGTAGGAGGAAGTAAAGTGCTGCCAATATCCTTAGTTTATAGTGTTTGTGATCTCTTTATTGTGCAATGTAATGTTAATACCATTTTTCCTAGTACCTCCTCTTTTTTACATTCCCACTCACTTTGTATAGCACACCAAATCTCTGTAAAATGTTAGTATATACATGATCTAGCTTCTCTCTGCTTGAAAAAGAAAAGCTTTTTAAAAGATCCCTAAATATTAACTGCCTTTGATGAGAGATACCATTTTTCAATTCTAGGCAGCAAGTTTAATGCAGAATCCTCAAGTACAACAGCTGTAAGTATACAGAAAGAGTATATTACATTTCTCTCTTCCACTTGTCAGGCTCCTAGTTTGAGCACAGTAGCTCCAAAATGATACCTAATTGTCAGTCAATTTGCACTTAAAGTCACACTCATCTGGCCTACCCAATGTGGGTATATCTACCTGCTTTCCTTGGCTGGTATTCTGCCTGTTAAAAATATATGCCAATTCATTGAAAAAGACACATGTACCCCAATGTCTGTTGCAGCACTGTTTACAATACCTAGGACATGGAAGCAACCTAGATGTCCATCGACATATGAATGGATGAAGAAGTTGTGGTACACATATACAATGGAATATTAGTCAGACATAAAAAGGAATGCATTTGAGTCATTTCTAATGTTGTGGATGTACTTGGAGTGTGTTATACAGAGTGAAGTTAGAGAAAAAAGCAAATGTTGTGTATTAACACATATATATAGAATCTAGAAAAATGGTACTGATGAACCTATTTGCAGCATAGCAATAGAGGCAGACACAGAGACTTGTGGACCCAGTGGAAGAAGGAGAGAGTGGGATGAATGGAGGGAACAGCATGGGAACATATACATTACCATATGTAAATAGATAGCCAGTGGGAATTTGCAAACTCGGGTGCTCTGTGACAACCTGGAGAGGTGGGATGGGGTGGGAGGTGGAGGGAGGTTCAAGAGGGAGGGGACATACGTATCCCTATGGCTGGTTTCATGCTGATGTGTGGCAGAGACCAACACAACATGGTAAAGCAATTATCCTCCAATTTAAAATATTTAAAAAAAAGAATATATGCAAATTTGATTTATCTCTTGCCTACTCTAGAATGTCAGGAATGATGACAAATGCTATTGGGGGGCCTGCTGCTGGTGTTGGGGGCCTAACTGACCTGTCTAGCCTCATCCAAGCGTAAGTTGTATTTAGAATAGAAATAGTTAAAAAAACAAAAAAGGTATTTTATGTTTTACAGTTTGAGTACTTTATGTTTTACCATTTGTCTCTAAGGTAAGGGGACCAAGGCTTTCTTTTTAAATTTTTATCTTTCACTGTTAGTTATCAATGACCTCATTAGTTATTAAATTTAGAAGTGGTTCATAAATTGAAATTTTATGCCTGAAGGGCAGGTGTCCAGAAGATTGGATCCAAGAAAAACGTTTTAAGCAAATCAGATGACAAATATCTACTTAATGAGTTTTATGTACACATATGTATTTAAAAATCATATATTGCCTAGGATTTAGGATACTTTAATTCAGACTTTTGCAGTGCATGTCATTGCTAAAGGAACTCATTTTATTTTCTCATTATTTGAACACATTACTTCTACCTCCATCCAAGTTGCTTAGGCTACTGTGCTTTTTGAATCTGTGTGATACTGTTACTGGAAATGTTACATGAAGTGACAGATATCATTTTTTGCTTGTGATCACAACTGTGTAAACCCACTTGCAATATGGCATTTTTAGAGTGATCTTTAAGTGGCATGATTTTAGTGATACCGAACACTTGTAATTGGGAGGTTCACACTCAGTAGTTTGGATTAAATCTCTGCCTTTAGAAAACTCAGTTCTGTTACGTGACTTCATAAGCATTCTCGAATAGGTGTGACACCTGCCATATGAGACTGACTTGATTACAAGAACAAATACCTTGCATTATATTTGCACACATATAATAAAAGGCATATTCTTTTTAGCCCTTTGTGTGTCTGTGGTTAGGCACTGGGTGGGGGAGGGGTGGATTTCACTCAATTCAGGAACTCACTTGTTAGCTTGGGTGTTTGATTTCTCATAAAGAACACTGCAGTGTATTAATGGTATATGGGGGTGCTGGTACACTTGCAGATAAGTCATGAATCTAAAACTTGTTTTTATAGAAAGCATTCCCTTTGGGTAGTATGCACATCGTTTGCAGCTCTTTTTGTGTTGGTATTGTGTGGTTGGAAATTCCCTAATTCATACTACTTTTTCTTTACTGCAGGGGACAGCAGTTTGCTCAGCAGATACAGCAACAGAATCCCGAACTCATAGAGCAACTTAGAAATCACATCCGGAGCAGGTCATTCAGCAGCAGCGCTGAAGAACACTCCTGACCCGACCGGGCCCCCAGCCAGAATGCAGTTGGTGATGGCCCGCAAGTGTCCGCTGTAGATAGTGGCCAAAACAAAAACAGATCTAACACATACTCTGTCTAGACAATAGGTGTATCACAAACAGATAACATAACATGACTGTGTTATGTTGACTTGACCATAACATGATTCCTTTGTAAGCAGGTGATCCGTAGCCTTGTTAAGTGCCAGTATAGCACTTAACTGGACACGGTTCCATTTTCAAATCTTCATTGTATTTGTATACTAGACTTAATAGCAGAGTATATTTATTGAACAGTAGGGCTGTTTACTGGTGAGTTCTCTAGCACCAAATTCCCATAAGCAAACTTTTTGAAAGGGGAGATAGCTAAGAGGAAAGGATTTTCATGCTGATTTAGGAGAAATATACTTGCCACTGAGTAGCGTCTTTGGAGAAGAAATTCGTTCCTGGGTTTAGCTTTGATAGTGCTATCAGTAGTGAAGATATGACAGGGGCCAGTACTGTCTTTAATGCTGCTTACTTTGTTGGGTGACAAAATCTTAAGAGCTGGTGGAAAGCAGTATTCGGTGTTGTTTAGGAAAGGAAAAAATAGATGCTGTGAATGTATAGAAAGTGAATGTAGGGTGCTCAGGTTCTTTGCATAGTTCTTAACTAATCTTGCCTACAGTTTGGTATAGATAACATTAGCATGGCCACTTATGCTAAGTACATAATAAAATACATTTAGAAATCCTTAATAATATTGGTTAGGTCAGTTGTATAACTATTCAATTCCACTCGCACAATTTATCTAGTGACCTTACCATGGAAACTTTCAAATATATCTACATTTAAATAAGCCAATAGCTTGGCACTTAAGGATTTCCTAAGTGGCATTTAATTATGTGCCTGCAGATACTGATTTTTTAAGCTTGTAATTATGTGACAGGTCACAAAAAGTATCTGTCATTAACACTTCTTGTTAATGCTCATCCTCTGCTTTAATTTGGCTTGGCATGTCACTTCTATGCTTCTTCTTAATTTGATGCAGCTTAAACATAACAGGGGACTTGAAATATTGTACTGAAATTAGAATACATATTAGTTAGTGAAGAGAAGTGGCATTAAGTATTGGAATGTCTTTAACTAGAGTGATGGATGAGGCTGTTCTAATTCTAGTTGAAATTTCTTTGGCTTGTTAATTATAAAATTGGTAAAGCTGGTGGACACATAATGAATTTCACAAGTGTTGTGAAAGAAAACTGAAACAGCAATACAAAATTAAATCAGTAATACTGATGACTGATTTAATTTTGTATTACTATAACTCTTCATCTCAAAAGGCTAATTACTTGGTATCTTAAAATTTAAAAACCTACTTTCCCTTCTTTCCCTTTGTTGGATTAGAACAGTTCGATAATTTTACTGTAAGAATCAGCTTGGAATTCATTAAAAAATCCAGATTCAGGGGCATACTTTTCAACTTTATCAGGTCCTATATAATGAGGTCTGGGAATCACCATTCCACACAGCACACCAAGTGGTTCTGATGTAGGTCCCAAGGGCTCTTGTTGAAAGGGCTTTTGCTCTTGTTGAAAGCAACACTAGGTTAGAGATTTCTCCTCTTTTAGGTCAGCAAATATCTAAAATGCCTGGGCTCAGGATACAAGGAAGAGCTACATGAACCTACAGTTCTTTTCCAGGGAAAATTAGGACTTAAGCCTTCTGAATTGTCTCCTATATTGCACTTAAATGAACTTGGGTGCTGATCTAGTGGTTAAGACACCATACTTCCAATGCAGAGGATGCTGGTTCAATCCCTACTCAAGGAACTAAGATTCTGCCAGCCTACGGTGTGGGCAAAAAAAAAAAAAAAAAGTCAATTCTTGCTGGTGTTGCATAAGAAAAGGTTCCTAGCATAATTATCTTGAACGCATTACAGATGCTTTCAAATTGATAAAACTGGTAAGCCTCTGAGTAGGAAAATAAAGAGAATATTAATCAACAGTAAGAGAAGTGAAAGAAGGGATATCACTGCAGACCATGTAGACAATTAGATAATTAAACAATTAGATAATTAGAAAATACTATGATCAACTATAGGTCCATATCCATGAAACAGGAAAATTCTTTAAAGATACAAACTACCATAACTGACTGAAGAAATAAGGTACCTCCTGAAAACCACAGGCCCAGACAATTTCAATGGTGAATTCTACCAAACACTTAATATTAAATCTACACAATCTCTTCCAGCAGAAGAGGAAACACTTCCCAACTTCATTTTATTTTGCCAACTTTGATACCAACATCAGACATTATAAGCAAAAATACTTACAATGTCTTTACTAATATCTGTAGGTAAAGTAGCCATTCTTTTTACATGAAGGAATGTGAATTGGTTGTATTTCTTCCATTTCATGTTTCTCGTTTGTTTCTTTTCTAATGTATCTCCCATAACACATCTAGGTAATGTATCCACTTACCTGGATTTCCATTCTATTCAAGCCACTTTTGCTTTTTAAGTACTTTCATCACTTTGAAATTACTCCATTGCATGCTATTTCAAGAAGGTTTTGTGTAGCTGTATTGTGTTAGCTACTCTTAAAATTATAAAGAATGCTCCAAAAGTTATTTTGCTTGTCTGAAACAAGAGGGCATTAAAGTAAATCTTTATTTACATTCTACTTAGGAATGATTGATTTCCATTAACCACTTTTCATTATAGTAGCTGTAATTGTTATGATGCTATGTAAAATTTTTTATTGTTGTTCGGTCGCTAAGTCATGTCTGATTCTTTGTGAACCCATGGACTGTAACACGCCAGGTTCCTCTGTCCTTCACTATCTCTTGGAGTTTGCTCAACTTCATGTCCATTGAGTTGGTGATGTTATCTAACCATCTCATCCTTTGCTGCCCCCTTCGCCTTTTGCCTTCAATCTTTTCCAGCATCAGGGTCTTTTCCATTGTAAATGTAAAATTTACAATGTCCTTTGTATGCAAATGACATTTCTACTTAATGTACCAAATTGTTTATCTAATTTTTATAATATGGTTTACAGATCCTTTCTAAGATGACATTATGTAACCTTTACTTAGCGAAGGAACAATATGTGTCTAGGTTATTGCTTATAAAAAAGGGAGTCTTAGCAGAATCCCAAGTGACCATCATATGTTAGTTTTAAAATTTGAATGGAGTGAAACAGAAGGTTCAGTCATGAGAAGACACCTTGAAAGCTACTGAAGTATCCAGTGCAGGGGCTATAAAGTCTTATTTCATCATTTAATCAATTGTACTCATTTTGGAGAAAAGACTGTCTTTCGACAAAGACAATTTTACACTGCTTGCACTTTATTTTGCACGGACGTTTCATTAATTACCTCTTCAATTTAAGGGCAAATCTCATTCTGAAGACAGCTTTCATTTTGGACCAAACAATTTGTCATGGCAATAAATAATTATGCATTTAAGAAAAACCAATTTTTGTATTTGACTTAATGCATTTACATTTAAGCAGTTATATACACATGCTTGAATTTCAACTTGTTTTTATTTAACAGCGTTAGTTTTTGTTTTGTTTCAAAATACTGAAACTTTTATTACATCCATGTTGCAAAGTTGTTTATAGTCTTAATTTCCTCACTGTTTTGTATATGACGTAAGTAAATTAATGTGATTACATGCAGAAACAGTTTTGTAATAATAATACATGATGTAGAGTTCAAAATCAAGTATCAGAAGCTGGAAATCCTTTAAGTATGCCCTTAAAAAAAAAGTGGTTTATTTTTCAATGGGAAAAAAACAGGACTTTCTTGGCTTAGAATTAGAAAATGATCAGGCTTCTTAGCTTAGAGTTATCAGAGTAATTGACAGTTTAAGAAATAAAACAAATTCTGATCTGCTTTTAGTAACTGAAAGTTAGATGTGTGTGTATGCACACAAAAATACAGATGCCAATATGATAATTTTTAAAACAACTAGAAAAATTCATACTGTGTTAGCAAATACAAGATTATATGAGGACCACCCTAGTTGTTTTAAACTTATTTTGTTGACTGAGGAAAAAAGCTGGGGTTAACGAAAATACTTCTAAATAAAGTATGATGAGAATTCTAAAGTTTTAAGAAACAACTGTATCTTCTAGATTGAAGTCAGCAAACTATGGCCTGCAGGTCAGATCTGACCAGCTGCTTGTTTTTGTAAATGCTGTGGTACAATTTTTGCCTAAAGTGAAAGTCGCTCAGGCGTTTCCGACCCTTTGCAACCCCATGGACTGTAGCCTGCCAGGCCCCTTTGTCCATTGAGTTCTCCAGGAAGAATACGGGTGTGGGTAGCCAGTCCCTTCTCCAGGGGATCTTCCTGACCCAGGGATTGAACCTGGGTCCCCTGCACTGCAGGCAGACTCTTTACCATCTGAGTCACTAGAGCCTGCTGGCCGCTTCTGTATTAGAACCGCAGAGTAATTTCAGCAGAAACCTCCTGGCCTGCAAGGTCTAAAATATGAAGTGTCTGGTCCTCTACATGAAAAGTTTACTGACCATTGTTCAAGATACCTGCTAGGGACACATGGCCTCAAATATAGAGCTTCTGGAGAACAAAGTCCAGTGGTCATTTAAAGTGAAACAAAATCACATGTGTGTAGAAAATATACAAATGTTCATTTGGAATATAACTCACAAGATAAAATCAGTAGATGGTTCTTTTCAAAACAAATATTTAATATTTTAACTTTTATAGGAAAGAAATTTAAATAACATACTTATTTTTACTGTTGATCATTTTACAAAGGTGGCAAAAATGCAGAAAATTCTGGGCAACTCAATGAAAAGTGTAACATTGGACATTTTGTTCAACTTTCCACTTTAATGGCCGAAGATACCACACAGACTTGTGCGATGTCATCATATTCGTATGTTCTCTTTAAGAATGTGTCTGTTAGTCTTAAGCCAGAGACGCTCTATTGAGAGAAAAATATAGAAACAAGTTTTCATTCATTGGTAATGACCAGAGAAAGAATGGATATAATAAATGACTATGGGTTAATAGCCCCTAAATACTGAAATTACTGAAAAGAGAGCATACTTGCAGTCCTTGTACTGAAGACAGTAGTGTGAGGGCAAGGCAGAGAGAGGAACTTGGATGGAGCTTTCCAAGTTGTCTTCCTGAAATGCCACACCAGTGGATAGAATTGGTATTGCACATTTCCAAAACTAGATCCATTGTTCTTTCACTGCTGGAGGAATCAGAAAAATAGGAATAAATCTTGTTCCTTTCACAAAGGGATACTGCAATATTTCTAAATCACATTTCGAAAACAAGATCCATCGTTCTTTCATTGCTGGAGGAATCAGAAAAACAGGAATAAATCTTGTTCACAAAGGGATACTGCAATGTTTCTAAAGCACTATTGCCAGTGACTTTCTTTTCATGGTATCCAGCTGCAAACCAGGAACAGAAATGAAAATCCATCATATCGTTTTTATTTCACTTGAGACAGAATCAGGAAAATGAAAGATGGTTTTGGTCTGGAGTTTACAGTAGCACTAAGACTAATCTGCCTGTCTGGATGCAGGCCTTCTGGTTCTGTTACTGAACACTGGCTCCCTGACGCTCATCTGTTAAAAATAGTTTGGCCTTCTCTGGGAGACTTCCAGACATCTGTGTCTAATTTTGTTGCTATGTATCCTTCCAATTTCTGTTAGATGCTCTGTAGGAAAGAGAATGAAAAACTGAGGCTGGTCCAGTGCTTTTTCTATTTAATCTATGTTCCTTTACCATGCAGTGTTTGCTCAGTCACTTCAGCTGTGCCCGACTCTTTGTGACCCTATAGACTGTAGCTCACCAAGCTTCTCTGTCCATGGGATTCTCCAGGCAAAAATACTGGAGTGGGTTGCTGTGCCCTCCTCCAGGAGGTCTTCCCTACACAGGGATCAAACCCGTGTCTCCTGCACTGCAGGAAGATTCTTTACCCACTGAGTCACCTGGGAAGCCCTTACCATGCAGATAACATAGCAAATGACTGGCAAGATTTACAAGTAAAACTATTCAGGTATTCACTTGACATGAAAAAGACTGCTTCTCCTTATAATTGATACCACCAGTTCAATTAAACTTATTAAGTTAAAAAAACACTTTTAGTGAAAGTATGTGCATTGTTTTTAAAACAAAACAAAACCAAAAGTTTCATAATGAAAAATGGTCTGCTACTCTACCACCATGCTTGACTTGCTTTCAATTCTTTAAGCTCTTTTTCTCTCCTTAGCTGGCTCCACATTTAAAATACTCATTTAAAATTTAAATTTTAAACTTGAATTTTAGATGTATTGATTTAATGATCTTTAGCTTTTATGTGTCTCTGTCTCCCCTCTAAAATTTGAAATGTTCACTGTGTGCCCCAGACCAGTTTAGGTGCAATGCATGAATTTCCTCATTACATTTCACAAAAATCCAGTAAGAGTAGACTGCATGTATGTGTCTGTGTGTGTTGTGGGTTAAGGGTAATCCCATTTTTATAGATGAAGAAACTGAAGATCTAAGAAATAAGTGCTTTTTAGAAAACTTATTTGAATTACCAAAAGGTAAGTTAATACTCAAACTGTTATTTCTTTATTTATTATAGCACTTTGTCATTTGGTCAATAACTGATTTTTTATAACTCAAGAAACACAAAACAAATAATCCAAAAGCACACCCATAAAGGGTACATGTAGCACAAGGTCTTTATCCTGTGTGTGTTGTTTACTGAGCTCCTATGATGTGGCAGGCACTGCACTTATAATGCTGGTAAGACATGATCTCTTCTCTTAAATTATTTGCAATTCAATACAGAAGAGACTAGTGATCAATTATAGGAATGTATCAGTATCACAAAAAAACATATTACAATTTGCTATGATTATGTATGAGAAGGTCTGGGAAGCTTCACAGGGTAAGTAGGTATTTTGTAATTTTGAAGGATAAATACTTCTTATCTTCCTAATACCATAAAGTTGTAAGGGATATAGAATTATACATTCAGGCTATGATGATTTGGATTCATTACTGTGATATTATCAAAATG